TAATATTCAACATTGGTTTTTTGATCGTCAGATGGCTGAAGAAAAAGTCGAACAGAAATCAGCTGTTGCTTAATTTCAATATGACTCTAATCGATCAAGAAAAAAGGTAAAATTTATTAATGTTCCATTCTTTGCATATTAATTGAAGTTCATTAGACCAAGGCATTTTTTTAATCTTATACTCTAATTTTATTCTATTCTGTATTTACAAAAATTATAATTTAATAAATACACTCACATTGATTTAAATATTCAAGTTGTTCATTTGTGAATTTCGCTTCCGCCGCTTTTAATTCTAAACACGAAGTATACATATATATATTTTGTGTTTTCGAAAATAATATATATTCAATAACACAAACGAACTACGTCAGTTAGTCACCATGTCAAATAGATTCAGAATGATCTCTAATCGTTGTGATCAATTGACTTTCATGTAGCATAAAAATCCAATTGCTTCATTTCTATCCAATAATAAATCAATGATTGCTTAGATATTAAAAAAAAGGTTTATTCATTTGATTAATAACTTCATATTTTAGACAAGTTGTTTTCCTGCTCTCTTTCATACGTTGTCTATTAAAAAAATTTGATCTTCGATACGTTATTCAGACAATTACTCATGAAAAATTTTATCAATAGAAATGACGAAAAATAGATTAAATGATTGTAAATTCGACTTAGTTCCTTACACTACAATGCTATTGTCAGCCTGTAACGTGTTTCATTATAACAAGCTTCTTTTCTATTAATGCTCAAATTAGCAAGCTGTTAGATAAGCTGAAAATAAAATTCCATGGTGATTTCCATGAAGAAACTACTAATTGAAAGATAGTCGCATTCAGAGACTTTTCCGAGATCAGTCATTATTGGTGGAAATCAGAATCTTTAATTGATTTCAATCATCAGTAAGAAAAAATCAGCATATATTGGTTAAATATCAACGAACTCGAACATATTCTGCTAAAAACTGTCCCAGAGATAAACATTAAAGAAAATCTATTTATCTATGTTTTTGTGTACATCCCTAGTGCAAAATCTTGTAAGCAAGATCTTGGTCAAGATCCAAGGTACAGAAAAGTGAGTAGATCTTGAAAATTTAGGTACAAAATAATCACATTATCTTGTACCAAGATCTGTAACTAGATCTTAGGTACAGATATTCAATATCTTGAATTTCATATATAGTCTTTTTTGATAGCTTTTACTGATCTTTGTTCTTGGTAATTACATCTTTCATACTAATAATCAGGATTTTTCATATCTTCAGTCAAACCCCTACTGCCGAATCTATTTTCGATAGCGAAAATTATTTATCTGAACATGTAATACGAGTTACATTCTCTTTAAAAATATCACAGGAGAACATGAGCTACAAAAATGCAAGCAAATTTTGAATTTACGTATGAGTAATTTTAACATTTTAAAATGATGTCTATTTATGCAAACTCAAATCAAGAAAATCTATGGGTTAAAAACTGCTATCCTCTGATTTTATGAATATAGGGATCGAATTTTTTTAGAATTTTAATTTTTTATATTTTGTAATTGTTTTTAGTAATGTTGAATCATCATTTGCCTTGATTTTTACTTAAAAGCATCAGATGAGAATATTAGCATCAGGTTGATGTTTATGTATTTAAGTAATATTCATCGGTAGTTTAAATAACAATATAAAAAATCTAGAAATAAATATAAATGTAACATTGTTTATTTGTAAAATGTATTAGAAAATTTACTATAGAAAGAAAGAAATCAAAGGGCGTATCTAAATATAGTATTTGATTAAAATTCAAAACGTTTTTTATTTTATCATTAACAAAATGCTCTTTGAACAATTTTAATTCTAAAACATTTTGTATCGTAATGAGACATCAAAGCATCTTCTTTTAAACCACAAATATTTCTTAAATTCAAACTAGGTCAGTCTAAATATATTTGTAACTACTTTATAAATTTTCTGTTGAATAATCTTTTCTTTCTTCTTTGTGCTTCATGGCTTTAATTCTATTTGTTGGTAAGTGCTCCCACTTTTGCTAAATTTCTTTAAAATTTATCATACTTACAGGTTTATATGATCGAGTTTAGGAACGTAATTCCGAGCAATTCAAGAATTTTTAAAATATGTTAATAAATTAATGATGTTGCTTTTTGTTTTACTTAAGATCTTGGAAAAATATAATCGAAAACAAAATATTTTCCAAAGAACTTGACTTTTGAGGATCTTTGAACTGATCTTGCTCAGATCTTAGGTACAGATTTATCTGATATGACCAAGATATACATATACTGATCATCTTTTCAATATCTTAGTAAGATCTTGCTTACAAGATGTTCGACTAGGGATATCAATATGATTCGAATATGTAACAAATGAACAAATTTCATTTGGAAACATCTTATTAAAAAATATTTTCCAAGGACTGTTAATATAGTTCTTGAAATTTTTCAATTAAAGTTTCATGACGAAAAGTCAACAATACTTCCTATTTACAAGAAATTAATTCAATAACACTTGAAATTTTTCCCTATTAGGTGACTTACTTGAAATATATTGAGCAAAAAAATTCCAACTCCCACTATGAGCGTAGAAGACGCACATATTCTTTTTCTTTAGCATTGATAATTTAAAGAGAAATAAAACGAATTGATGGAAAAAGAAAGACAAGAGAAAGTATTGAACGAAGAATGTCAAAAGAAAAAACGTAATCGAAAAGACATTAATTATAACAGATGATTTCAATGCCATAGTGTGACTGTGGTTGAAGCCGTAGTAAACAAATCGATTTGTACCCGGAGTGCATGCATTCCATTTTCAACGAACGAAATCGTATCTCATACTCCATATTCTACAAATTTTTCAATACATAAAACTCTTTATGAATTCATGTTCATCTTCTTATCTGAGATTTGTAAGTTCCCTTTCATATGAGAACGGAATACAAAAATAATATCATCACTTGTATCGGTACTTTAGATTATTTTGGTGAAAATGAAATTTCTTTTTCTTGATTCAATAATTTTGTTTTGAAAAACATTTTTCAAGTCATTTGATATTTCGATTCTTTTGGTTTCTTTTTTTAATATAGTATATGGCCTGATGTGAAAAATTACGCATTTTTTTAGTAAATTGAAACTGAAAAAGAATGCATGAAATTTTATCAAAAAAGTCTTTATTCTTGATGATAATAAAAGAAAAATTGCTTTCTTATTCTCAGCCTTTTTTCGATATATGTTGAGGTTCACTGAACTCACGATTATCATACATTGTATTACCAATTCAGGTACTAATACTGACGAGATGGCACTACCGTGAAAAGGAAGATAATGTATATATTTATCCATAGAGAAAGTATATTGAAGCAATATATATTTTGTATATGCAATATGGATCTTTCATTAGTTGAGATACTTCGGTAGGTTGTTATGCAATTGTGTATCATCGGTTTCTTTTTTTATCTTAAGATGATCACGCATGTTTTTATTTTTTTTTTGAAATGTATTAAATGGTTTAATCCTGTTTCGTTGACAGAATTTGATTTCGATTTTACTGACATTTTATGCAACAATAAATGAGACAATGGAGAGTACATTAAAGAAAATAATTGTAATAAGAGAAATGAAAACATAGATTATACTAGCAAAAAAATTATTTTCAGCTTTTACTAATAAGCCTTATCCCTAATTTGCTTGTTTCATATATTCTTTCCTCTTTCCCAATCGTTTTATTGTTCATGAGGCTATGAGTATGTAAAAATTCAATGTACGACGATACCCACACTGGTCCTCGCAGCGGAGCGATTTAAAATTAGCGACATCTATTTTGCTTTTTAATCACTACACCCAAAATCTGCAGTACTTTTATTATTTAGTGTTTTTTAAGTTCGAATAAATTAGAATCTTAACGACTGGCACGTCTCTATGTAGCACGTGTAGCTCAGAAACAGGATGGGGTGTGAGTGTGGGCGTGCATATGGGTGTGAGCTTATCAAGAGAAGCACACCGGCATACATATGCACGCTCACACCTATCCAGATTCACACTCTCACTCACACGCAAACCCATACGCATAAGAACAAGTACGAAAATTGAAATGGATCATGATATCAGGTGCTTGATGCGAATCAAAAAGTCAATAGCTTGGACAATTCCATAGATGGAATTTCGTTAAACTAAGAGCAAGTACTAAGCAATTGTGTGGACTCCGAATCATTTCGCGAAAAACATCTGATTGGCTACAAGTATACACAGGTACAACCGAAAAAGGAAAAAGAAGGAGATTTTCTGAACTTTCTTTCACTCAAATCTGAAGCTTCATGTAGATCCAGTTGATGGCATCCATCAAGATTTCTTCTTTTCCTAAATCATTGTGAAGTTCATGGAAGTGTCCGGACCACTCTTTGAACCTGGCATCACCTCGAACTCTGTTCCGCACCCATTTTCGAATACCGCTAATTGGTGTGACAGTATCCGCATCTCCATGTTGAATCAATAATGGCCATGGTGCTTCAAGAATTGTCTTTTCCAACAAAACTCCTACTTCCATAAAGATAGTTACAGTTGATGCTGTCCATCGATCATGAACAAGTGGATCCTTTCGATAGGCTTCGACAACCGCTGGATCATTAGTATATACATGAGTATAATTGCCTTGCACAGGCAACAGAAAATGTGGATCCAAATTGGCGAAAGTACGTGCGAAAAAAAGTAACAATTTCGTGGGACGTCTTTTCAGACAAATTGAAGGTGTACTAATGACCATGGCTTGGCAATCGAGTGGTTTGGAAGGTCGTCGAATGATATGTGCAAGGCAAAGAAGCGAGCCGGTACCATGTGCATAGATCACCAATGGTACATCAGGCTGATATTGGGTACGTATTCGTTCAATGATAGATTCGAGATCATCAAGAAAAGCATCGAGCTTTGGTGCAAAGCCACGTTCACCATCAGATAGACCATGTCCTCGAAAATCAAAAGCAACACTTGCGAACCCGTACTTATTGAAGAAATGAGCCACATGCGTGTAACGTTGGCAATGCTCACCGAAGCCATGCACAAAGAGGATAATACCACGACATGAATCATTTGTAGAGGGCCAATATCGTCCTATTAAACGCAGTTTATCTTCGTACGAGGAATTGCAAACAAAGGTTTCACAATTGTCGTCGCCACTGTTTTCGCTATGAGCTGAAGCGTCGCTGATTGTATCCATCTGTAATATTATGAGAATGCGCTACGTTTTTTTCACAGTGCCTAAATCGTAAAGAAAATCAATGCAAACAAATTTACACACAAATAGAAACAATGTCAATAGTCTGAAAAGACTTACGCAGCTTTCTACATATAGAATTGCGATGACTGGAGTGCATTGAACAGAAACACAAGGTATTTTATTCTAACCGAAGCAATCCTCTTAATGGGTAGTGATTTCGAGATAATTGTTGATACAGTGTTGAGTATGCATCTGTTTTGTGAAAGTTTTACTACAACTCAATGTATTGTGTCGAAATTTACTAATATATTTTCGAAATATGAAACTAGTTTCATTGGTAGAGTAATTACTAATACGTAAACTGGTTGCTTCCAACCTAAAAATAAACTAATCACCGGTAATTAAACAGCGCTATTGGAGAGCGCAGGAAACGAAAAAAAATCACAAAATATAGTGTATCAAGCATGACATACTAAAGGAACCTCGGTTTCTTCCAACCTAAAAATAAATTAATTATCGACAAAAAAAACAACACTGTGGGACACCGCAGTGAAACGAAAATAATATCGCGAAATAAATTGTTGGGTATAACACAATCAATGAGCTCGGTTTCTTCCAACTTTCAATTAGCTTGTTGTGCATAAAAGATACTATCAAAATACGCAGGTGAAATTGGAAAGAAAATTTTCTCTTAATAAATTACGTTGTACATATTTATTTCAATTCAGCTTGTTTATCTTTCTTAACTGGTCGTCTGCAGGGTCGAGTATAGAATTTAAAGCGAGTTCTAGTACAACACATCAACGTGTATATACAAAAACAAACATGTAAGCTCTTTTATTTTGCCATCATCTGGACTATATAAAACATTTAAATTTACCAGGCAAGCCTGGCTCATTCAATTATATTATAAGTAAGTCAACAAAGTGATATACTTTAGTGAACGATGATCGATTGAGTATAGATTCACTACTTATTGGGCTGGTCTTTCCAAACATGCTTTGACACTGAATGAAGATGGAACCGTCTTGTATAGCTATAGTGAGAAAGGTTCCAAGGTCAAAAACCAACCGACACTTGTATTTGTTCATGGGCTATCGTCAAACAAAGAAACATGGCTACCAATAATCAAAGTCAGTTACGAAAAATATTGTTTGAGTTCTCAGGTAGTTTTCGTTATTGCAGTCGACAGTACCAATGGTAGAATATTACCAGCTTTTTATTTCATAAAACATGGACTGAATCCTAGTGATACTCGAGATTTAGCAGAATTGAATTTCTCTCGTGATGCTTCGTGGTCAGCCATTGAAAAAGAGTGCTTTTTTATTCACAGAATATTTCTGATGATTATCACTGTATCACAATTGATCTGCCTGCTCATGGAGAAACAGTTGGATTAAATGAAGAGTACTATACTATCGACAAGTTTGTGGATGCACTCAAACTGGTATTGTAAACCGAACACTGTTCTCTTCTTTATTCCTCTCCAAATGAGAATCCTTTAGTTTTTTGACAAAAAACAGCTGACCGAGCCCATATGCTTGATTGGTGCATCGATGGGTGGTAGTATTGTATCGATGTTCGCCGTTAAATATCCGTGCTATGTGAGCATGATCTGTTTGCTTGCTCCGCCTGGTGAGTATGACTAATTTGCAACCGATACACTTGATTTCTAAGCATTGTAGCCAATGAGCAATGTGAAACTGAACTAATACGAGAACTACGTGCTGGCGTCTATAGTGCGCTACTACCGGAAACATCTGAACAGCTCAGTACTATGATCAACACGCTAACAGTAAAGAAGATCAATTTGCCGCGACTATTCCTCGATGGTTTTCTCTGTTTGAGATTACGTTTGCTCGATGAACATAAGAAAGGTAATAGACATCATTCTGAAAAGTGTCAGTAAAAGTCCATTATTTGAATTGTGTTGTGCTTCAACAGTGCTTTCGTCACTTCTTGAATACGACTATCCGCATCTCGAAGAATACTATCAGAAATTGCAATACATAGACAAACCAGCATTGATCCTTTGGGGTCGCCAAGATCGGGTATTTAGTCGTATGTGTCTTTCAATTTACATGATATGCCGTATCATCTTGTAGATTTACACTGCTGAGGGAGCTCAATATCTAGCCAAGTTACTACATGTTGTCGAAGTAGTTATTTTCGAAGATTGTGGGCATTTCATGGCTATTGACAAGCCTGAGGAAACGGCAGAAGCTATTATGAATTTTCTTGATCGCTACTCAAATTATCAGGCAAAAGCACTTACTAATAGTTAAATTCATCTAAAATGAACTCTGAAAGTATTTGCATTTTTTCGATGTTGGTATTACATGCATGTTATACATAATAAAGCACAACGAGTATAAAGTCAAAACGTACTTCTTCCAGTATGCTGAGCGTGCAAAATTAATTTTACCTCACGCTTCTTTCGATCCAATGATGTTTTGAGTAGTATTGGAAGGATACGTTCAGTACATTTTTAACCATCTCTGCTCCATTTTTATTGTATTTTTACTGGAAATCACCTCGACCTCATTGTACTGTGATCTTCTTCGAAAGAAATTGGAATACATCAATTTACCACAAGTCATTTCATTTCTCCTCTATTCCACTTAGAAGAGCGAAGTAAATTGAAATCTTTTAACACTCGTTGAAAGAAATCAAAGTGGAATGAGGTTGAAATGCTTGGAAATGAACAAAGAAGTTTTCTCTTGCAAACACCTCATTTTTTTTCAAGTTTTAAATGAGAATGGTAGAATATCGAATATCTTTTCGAATTTCTGTTTCAATGGTTATTAAAAATTCTCGAGGATGCATTCGTGCTTTACACGATCTTATCGTTAGGCAATAAGAAAGAAAATCCTGAAATGAGCAGCGAAATATACGTATCTGTAAAATAAAATAAAAAATGATGTTGAAATCAAATCCATTGATAAATGGCTGTTGTGCTCAGTTCTCATTCTTTTCAGATGTATTTCACGTAGAATGGGAAATTCATCGAGTGTCCATGATAGTAGCAATCTACCACAGAGCCCTTTTGAGCGCATGTTGCAGGCCAAACGTAAAGGTGCTGCATCAGCGAAATGTATCCCAGGAACCGCATCTGACTTTTACTTTTTCTGTCGGAATGGTGAAGTCGATCGAATGCGCCAAGTACTCGATGCTGAAGACGCACCATCCATTGATCAGTTGAATGAATTACAGCCGAATGGTAGTACAGCATTGCACGCTGCCACATACTACGGTCACAAAGAGATAGTCAAATTTTTGCTTGATCGAAATTGTCCTCGAACAGCACTCAATAGATACGGACGAACAGCCTATGAAGAAGCACGTGACTTTGAAATGAAGCAATTATTCGATCGACCAGATTCGGCAAGTCGCTTCCATGAATTGAATGCAGCTCATACATTGTCTATCTATTTGCCATGTGAGAACCATGGTGATACACTAGCAAGTGCTCCTCTCAATTTTGTACGTGTTTTCAAGAGCGAATCCGAGATTCTCGACTATTCTATCAATCAGCAAACAACGGCCATGTGGCTCAAATTTTACAACTGGTTCTCGCATACATTTCGCACATTCATCGAACGAGAAGATTTTCAGATCGATGCATTCGATCTACACAAACACGCGGACTTTCAGCAATTTCTCAAACTTCATTTCTCCGATCCAGTCCAATATGAACTCACGATGAAATCAATCGGTGATGCCCAAAGAAGCAATTCTATTGAACCACTCATTCACTTGTATACAAGTGAACAAGCTGGTTTCTATCATCCACTCAATCGGCAACTGGCTCATTCGGTAGGCGATGCTCAAATGAGTCCACATTTGTGTGATCGATTTGTCATCGAATTTCATCTGCGTCGACATGAACTCAAACATCGTGCATTCACAGGCACGGTCTACCGTGGTGCCACAGTACCTGCCGTCGATTTGACTATTTATGAGCAAGCATTAGCTAGCGATCCACCTGGTATTCTTGGTCTCAAAACATTTACATCGACATCGACAGATCCATTGGTTGCTCTGGCATTTGCTGTGCAACAACCACCAACAATCGATCAGAAAAGTGTTTTGTTTGTTTTTGAAATACGAGAAGTAACCCCGACTATCATTGGCGTTGAGGATGTCTCTTCGTTCATTCAGGAACACGAAGTTCTTATATTGCCAGGTAATTTATTTATTGTTACTGGTATTGAAGAAGAACAATTCCTGAAAGTGACGAAGATTTATTTGCGTTATTGGCATGTATCTGTATCGTTTTGGAAAAAGCTTAAGCAAACAGTAAGATCTGGAAAGAAAACTGTTTTATAAAGTTGACATAAAACAAATGAAAACAGTAGAGATCAGTTTGCCATTGATTGTTTCTCTGACGTTTTTATACTGTCAATAAAGAAATTTCATGTAAGCCATTGGTGCATCGCTCTTCATGATCACACATTTCTTTGAAGCAAACAATTCACAAAGATGTATTACATTCTTCGTCCTTGTAGTTTGGGATGTCGGTATTGGTGCGGGTGTAGATATGGGTGTGGGTGACATTTCTACCTTCATCAACACTCACACCAATGTCCACATCGAAACCCAGACCCACACCCGCATTCTTATAATCAAAATTAACCCTTTGGGGGCCATGGCCGTATATATACGGCTTAGAAATTAGACTAAGGGAAGTAGCCGTTAAATACAGTAAAACTGTTTGTTTTCAGTATGGAGTTTTTGTCCCAATATATGTGGCACACATATAGGTGTTATGGAATAGTTTAAGTATAATATATATATATAGCTCAGTGTATTCTGCCATTAGCAATAGGTCGTCCTACACTGACTTAGCAATTAATTAGGCATACTGCTAGACACTTTTCATCTTTTGTACCTAAAAGAACACACAGGAAGACTCTTCAGAGAGTCCGTGTTGTATGTGCGCACACAATAGTCGAAGACATAAACGAGGACTGATTCACACTACATGTGTAAAATTTTTTCAAAGCTAACGTCCCCTTCTCGTATGTTATTAAGTTTATTCATTATACATATTGGATATGTGTTCTGTTTCTCTTGCTGTAAAATGAGGAGTGTGCATAATTTGCATAAAATCTAAATGAAAAATTATGTTTAATAGCTTTCAATTATAATTGATTTTGTACCCGAAAATCTACTTTTGTTTCTATAAAAAAAAAGTTGATTCTCAAAGGGTTAATCAGAATAATCAATAAAGTTTTGAATTTTTTTCGTTCATTTTGATTACAATCCGTTATTAAATGATTAAAAATCGATTAAAGGCATATGAATTTAGTCGATTTTAATCTAATTTTTATCTTAATCCTTTTTACATGCGAAGTCTTGAGTAATGTTGAAAATTGTGTTGGCTAGTGACTATAACTAAACTGTTTCTAAATAAGGTTCAAGATTGTAACTATGGGCAAAACTTATAACTAGAATGGGCAGCAATAACAATTTCAACATTCGACCGATTTATTCGATAATGAAACTTTCAAAGACATGCTTGCTATTCAAAACCATGTATACCTGATAAATATATGTTCAGTAAAAATGTTTGTAATCTGCGCGTTTCGTTCGTAGCTATGAACATAGGAAAAACTGTTAATGTTACACAGTATAGAAAGCATAGTTTCATTCACAGAAGACGGCAAAGAATGCGAGAAAACGTAACTTAGAAATGAATAAATGAAAAAAAAAGCGCTTACAGAATAATCTATAAATACTAAGTTGTTGAAGTAAAGAATAAAGAAATACATATATTTTAATTTGTTTTATCAAACATGTCGATGAAATCAAAATAATTACTATTTCAACCTAGTTAAAACTACTAAAAAATTCATAAAGTTAATCGAGTTCAAACGGTTGATAGTTACAACCCAACTTATGACCATTTTAACTTTTTGCCATTTTTCTCAACTATCAACTTTTTGAAAAATGGTTTTGACTCCCACACTGCTCTATGCATAATGAGATATGTTACCGTGAAGAGTAGAATGAGTTCTACGAGTCTATCGGCAAAAGAAATGCAAAGACTCTTGTATGAGATAAAAGACTGCATAAAATACTGAAAGCGCATCACATATCGTCTGCTTTGGAGAAAATCGACGGTTTCGTTGAGTTACCTTTGATATTTATAGTTTATGAGAATAATTATTCGCAAGCGTATCTATAATACCGAAAGTTTATCTGTTACCTTAAAAAGATTTATTTGACTCCTTATTTCGATGTACAAGTTGTTTTTGTCATTCTACACAGAAACTTTACTTTCAATGTTTATTATTAATTGATCAGAAAATGAAAGATTTTTTCACGTGAAAGAGCAAGTAAGAATTACAATCAATTGAATCGACATTCTTATGAGAGAATAGAGATTAGTTTCGTCTCATGTTGATTATTGAATGGAAAAGTCTACTTAAAAATATTTTGCAAATGCTCATCGTCTATATAAATAAGCGATCCATCTGAAGTCGATATAAACTAATTCATTATTCGAATACACGTACATTTATCAGGCGTAGTATATATCGATTAGTAAATTCACAAAATTATTAATTCAAATCCGTCAATAGATTGTTGTTATGTATATATTTCACTACTTGTTAGTTTATCTTACGAAACTTGCTTGCATAGAAGATTTAATTTAGCTCTCCAATTTATTTTTCATAATATATTATGTACATGAATCATCAATTTATTATGAGAGAAAACTTCATAAATTGATTCTGGTGCTGTCAACCATGAAAATAAGACACACTTTCTTTTTCAAATATTATGTAAACATACAGTCTGCATTTGAGGTATCAAACGTGTGGTGCATAGATAAAATCATCGCATTCACCTTCACTATGAAAATATTTTCATTGATGAATAGAAGAAAAAGAAACGATAGAAAAAAATTATTTTTTATGCATTCATTTCGTTTTACCTTTCTTTTTCATCATTCATTTTTTCATCTATCTGAATATGGACGGAGCGAATCAACAAACAACCAAAAACACGAACCAAAAAGATCAGTAAGTTATACGTCTGTATAAAATTTTTATCTCGCTTTTTTTCAGATCTACGGAACCAACGAATAAACCAAACGAAGCTGCTCAATCGGCACCTATTCCTAAAAATGATAATGAAAAACCAGGGGGAACAATATATTATAGTGCTAGCTCATTTGCCACTGAGGACTGAGCAGATGATTAACAACTTTATTGAACATTTTCTTTAAAAAATATCTAACTCATACCTAATTCTTTTGTAACAATTTTTTTAGTGCATTATAATGATGATTATAGATCCATAATAAGAAAAATGTAACCACCAAAACAGTTGATCGTACTGTCGAATAAACATTCACATCTATTATTTATGTTGTATCGATTCCTTCTTTTCGTTTTTATTTCATAACTTATAATTTAATAAACTATATTTTATTTTAGTGTTCTTAGAAATGAAAAAAAGTTTCGATAATTAATTGTATGGCGATAATGATAAAGCTAAAATAATACTTTTTGCCAATGTTGTATCCATACAGGTCACAAAGATGTGAAAACACAGAGTAATAGGTTTTCATCATTCATTTCTCTTCTCTGCAGAACTATCAAACACAGTATGCATTAAGAATAATTTTTCGTGGATTATGTTGTAGTAGCAATTATTTTTGATGCATAGAAAATCTCAGCTATTTATTGTTTGATATATTTGGTGAGAGCATGAATTACTCTGTCGACCCATATAGTGTTTATTTTATTATTCTATTTGTGTTTCGTTGAAAAAACGATGCATTTTAAAAAGCACTCAAAGTACAGTTTTTCATGTAAAGAATTGCAGAGCTTATGTCACGTATTTTTTGGACACAACTATCTACTATGAAAATGAAGCTTCTTATTTTTATATAGAATGATGAAATGTTGTTTTCTTAACTCAACTAAATTTTTTTCAGTACACTACTTATTTTCATCGAGAACTTTGGCGATTATCTGAGAAATGCAGACTCATTACATTATTTTGTATTCCTTTTTTCGAGTTTACTGTGTTTTTGAAAAGATTTCAGAGAATTTTCGTATTGATATTGTTGAATACAGCATCAATTACTCTATCTAACTAAATAGTTTTTTCTACTTTTTTCTTTGAGTCTGGTTCGAAAATTCGATAAATTTTGAAAGACTCTCAAAGAAAAAACTTCTGTATCAATTTATTTTCAGCTTCTATAATATTACATTGAATTGCCAATTATACTTGTCTTAGTGATTTAAAATAAGTGAAGAATAATTTTATTTTAAAGTCACGACTAACTGATAAATTCTGATTCTGCACTAATGAGAATTTCGAAAATAGTCCACGATACATCAGCATTCAGATTCACAATTTCTTACGACGTTATTGAGTGGATGAGGATGAGTTTTAGTCTGGTGTAACCCAAACTTTCAAATGAGCAAATCAGAAATTCTTCATCTTACGAAAACTCTACTTGAATAATATATTCAACTGAATTCTCTAATTCCTTGTGAAGAACTTACATATATGTCCGCAGAAAATAGTGAGTGCAAGTTTGAAGTCGAAGTTTTTGCGACATCCACTTCCTCCCTCTCTCTCTCTCTCTCTATGCAGACCATAGTAACTAATGTCTGTTTCAAAATATAATGAGTCCCACTGTTTTTTGAATAACTCAAGAACGCAATCAACTAGAGACCTGCGGTTTTCACCAATCGAAAGAAGAGACAGGGGGGCGTCTTTTTCTCCAATATCGTATCAGACGGAATCATTTTGAAACCAGTCATTTCTGCATAACATCGAAAAAATGGTCTCTCATTCAGATGAAATTTTGACAAAAGTAAAAAAATTTGCTTCAAAATTAAAAGAAATTCATAGTTTTCTTGCGAGTAAATGGATGATTTTATTTGCTAAACGTTAGGATGCGGTAAGATAATCATTCGAATTATATCCTGAAGTATAGATCGGCAGTCCCTCTATCTAGATCACATGTCAAAAGGAAAATTTCTTCAGAATGCCGGGTCGTTTTCATGCATTTTTTCGATGTTATGCAGAAATGACTGGTTTCAAAATGATTCCGTCT